ATTCCTGCCAGAGTTAAGTGCATAATTCTGGCCGAATTACATATTTAATTTTGGCATTTTGGCTGAAATTTCAGAATTTTGAATTTGACTGGAATTACAAATTATAACTTTAGAATTTATAACATATTTATTCAGATTCAGACCAGATTCAGATCAGATTCAGATCAGATTCAGATCAGATCAGATTTAATCAGATTCGAATCAGATCAGATCAGATTTGAATCTGATTAATTCAGATTAAATTTAAACCGATCTGATTCAGATCAGATCAGATCAGATCAGATTTAATTAATTTCAGATCAGATTGAATCTAAGTAAAATCTGGTCTGATCTGATCTGTTAGGAGTACTACCTATCGTTCAGGGAAACATAAGAAATAAAGAAGTAGATGAATTAACAAGTAGTTTCGCGAAATTGCAAATCAAGATGTTAGAAGATGAGAATGAAAAATTAAGAAATTTAGCGAATCAGAGTTATAGGCAATTGCCACAGAGGAATCAACCAATACAAAGAAATCGACCAGTAAGGTTGCTTGCCGAAACCTAAGGGTTTAGGCAAGATGGCATTTTACCAAAAAGCGAAATTCTGCCGAAACTATATTAAAGCTGTCTCTTATACACATCTAGATGTGTATAAGAGACAGGTACAGAGAGGTCAACCAATTCAGAAAAGGGTACTGACATGTTTTATGTGTGGTAAAGTTGGTCATTATGCAAGAGATTGTCTAGAAAGAGGAAGGAATATAAGAGTAAATATGATGGACGAATATTATGATCATGAAGAACATGATTATGATGAATATGAATATGAGGAACCACATTACGATGAAATGTATTATATACAAGAATATTACGATGATTATGAAGATAGGGAATTAAATTATCATAATGAATTATATGCAAAAAATGCAGTAAAAACAAGAAGACAAACAAGAAGAACGAACCCAACAGTAGGATATAGAAATAATAACGAATAAGGAAATTTACAAGAAGAATTAAGAAAAGCTGGAAATAGGATGGATGATAGAGAAATACCAAGTGGAACAACAATACCAAGATATACACCTGAACGGACTGGACAAAATTTTGTGAATGGAGGCAGTCAAAATTGGGACAAACCAATAAGACCAAGAAAAATGAAATGGAGCAAAAAAAGACAAGGATATTATGACCCGACAGAAGGATTAAGAAAATGGAGAGAAGCAGGAGGACCAACAAACCCTAAACAGTATGGACCAAGGTTAATTGATGAGATACCACCATATGATGTTGTAGGAGACATAAAAAGTTGTAGAGCAAATATAACATTCGGACAATTGGTAAATGAGAATAATAAATACCATAAGCAATTAAGAGAAGAAATATATAAGCCAAGGAGTATAAATGAGAAAAATTGACTACACTTGGTGGAAACTATGAAAAATGAAGAAAAGAGAACTACAGCGATGAGAACAGAATTAGAAGTTGAAGATCAATTAGTAAGTGTAATAATAGATACTGGAGCAGCAGTAAGTGTGATAACAGATAAATTAAGAAGAAGATTGAATATACTTATACGTGGAAGAAGTAAATTTAGATGTACAATAGCAAATGGGCAAAAGATAGCAGCATTAGGAAAAGCAAATATAACTTTGAGATACAAAAATGAATTAGAAATATTGAAAGAAGTTGAAGTAATAGAATCAAAAGAAGAGAATCTAATTTTAGGAAATGACATATGGAAGTTATATAATATGAAAATAAATTTTGAAGATCATACCTTAGAAATAGAGGAACAGGGAGAAATAATAATGATTCCAGTAGGATATGAAAGAGAAGTAATATATGAAAGTGAGGAGAGTGAGGATGACGAAGAATATGAAAGTAATGACGATGGAGAGGTATTTAAAACATACCAGAATTTTAAATAGAAAGTCTTGGCTCTGAAGAGAGAGAGACGAAAAAGATGTTTGAACCAAGTGAAAAGTTTATGCAAAAACTAAATATAGGGAAAGTAGAAGAACCAATTTGGGAAAATATGGTAAAATTACTATTATAATACCAAGATATTTTGGAATATGACGAAGAAATAAAAGGGAGAACAAAAGCAGCACAACATGAAATAAAAATAAAAGATGGGATAGAACCAATAAAGCAAAGAAGATACAAAGAAACAGATGAAAAAGCAAAATTTATAAGCGAAGAAGTAGATAAATTGTTAAAACAAGGAAGGATAAGAAAATCAAAAAGTCCATGGAGTTCACCTGTTACATTAGCAGGAAAGAAAACAGGAAAATATAGATTTTGCATTGATTACAGAAAGTTAAATAGGATAACTATAATGGATAGTTTTCCTTTACCAAGAATGGATGAATTATTAGACAAATATAGGAAAGCAAAATGGTTTTCAAGTATAGATTTAGTGGCAGGATTTAATCAAGTAGAAATGAAAGAAGAAGACAAAGAAAAAACAGCATTTGTATGTTCTAATGGATTATTTGATTATAATGTAATGCTTTTTGGTTTAACGAATGCACCAGCAACATTTCAAAGATTAATGGATGAAATATTAGAAGAATACATAAACGATTTTATAGTAGTGTATATCGATGATATTATGATATATTCAGAGAATTTGAAAGATCATATGAAACATATAGAAAAAGTATTAAAGAAATTACAGGAGAATAATTTAATAATAAAATTGAAGAAATGTAGATTTCTGGAAAGGAACATAGAATTTTTAGGACATATAGTAGGAAATGATGGATTAAGGCCAGATGATAAAAAGATAGAAAAGATAAAAGAAATGAAGGCACCAACAACAGTGAAAGAATTAAGATCATTTTTAGGACTTTGTTCATTCATATTATAGAAAATTTGTGAAGAATTTTTCAAAGATAGCAAGACCAATAAGTGATTTGAGAAAGAAGGTAATACCTTTCTTTTGGGGAATATAACAACAAGAAGCTTTTGAAAAATTGAAAGAAAAGTTAATACAATATTCAATATTACAACATCCAGATTGGAAGAAAGAATTTCTATTAATAACAGACGCATCAGGAAGAGGATTAGGTGCAGTATTAAGTCAAAAAGATGAAAAAGGAAAAGAAGTAGTGATAGCATATGCAAGTAGAAGCTTATTACCAGCAGAAGAAAATTATCCGATAACAGAGTTAGAATGTTTAGAAATAGTTTGGGGAATTCAACATTTTCATAAATATTTAATTGATAGAAAATTTAAAGTAATAACAGATCACAGTGCATTAAAAGGATTAATGAACGCAAAGATACCAAAAGGAAAAAAAGCAAGATGGGTAATGGAATTACAGCAATATAATTTTGAAGTAATACATAGATCAGGAAAAGAAAATACAAATGCTGACGCATTAAGTAGGTTATTAAAGATAGTAGAGGATCAACCAGAAATAGTAATAATCGATGGAGTAGATGGATTAGGAAAAACAAGTATAGTACAAAATTTAATTAGAGAATGGGAAAAGCAAAGATTAAAAGTAAGATTCAATACTTATAAAAGAAGAAGAAAAGATAAAGATGAATTTTACAAATCAAAGATGGAAACAGAATGGAAATTCAGAAAAGAAGTAGTGGAACAAATAAACAGAAGAATGTTAGAATATGATGAAGATACAGATATAATAATTTTAGACAAATCACCATATTGTGAATATTATTATCAAAGGACAAAAAGTTTTGACAGAGGATTAATTACTCCGCATGGAAATCACGAAATGGAAAAAGAAATATTCAGATTAAAAGAAACAATAGATAAATCAATAGTGATATTTTTAGAAAAAGATGGCAATATATGTTGGAAAAATTATATTGGAAGGGAAACAAAGAAGACAGAAAAATCATCATATCTAACATTAAAAAAGGATGAATATTTGGACATGGTTAAAATGTTTGAAGAAAATCAGAGTGTGTATAAAGATACCAAAAGATACAGTCGAGTAAAAGTTAAAAATGACAATAGTAGTTGGAGAAAAGTATTTAAAGAAGTGAAGAAATGGAGAAAAGCGTAGAACAAATAATAAAAATAACGAATTCAGAAATAAAATCAATTAAAGAAATATTATGGAAGAAAGTAATTACAAGAGAATAATAGACAATATCGAAAAAGAGAATAAGTATGAATTGAAAGAGGGAATTCTATATAGAGTGAAAGGACAAAACAAACTTAGAGTAATCAGGAATTATGAATATGAGGGATTGATATACATGATGCATGATAACAAATTATCAGGATATTTTGGAATAGAAGCAACATTAGATAGAATAAAAGAAAATTATTGGTGGAAAAATATAAAAGAAGATGTAGAAGAATATGTAAGAACATGTTGGAATTGTCAAATGAGAGGAAAACCAAGAGGAAAGAACAAATTAATGTCAATAAAGATAAACGAACCATTTGAAATGATTGGAATAGATATAGTTGGACTATTAAAAGAAACAGAAAAGGGAAATAAGTACTACATTGTAGTAGCAATGGATTATTTTATGAAATAGCCCGATAAGATCTCCCAATTCCCTCTGTCATCAATTTACAGAGTTGCCACATCGAACGGGCATTCTCATGGTCAAACGAACGAATAATCGAATGAACGAACAATTGAACGAACAAGCAAATAATCAACGAACAACATACAACAACATATAACAATAATATACAATATAAATAGCGTTAGTAATATAAAACGTTGAACGATATAAAATAAAATTTAACTTCTCTAAATTTTTCCCAAATTATATTCACTTTACCTTTAATTCCAAACTTCGATAGCTCTTGCTACGAATTATTACTTTTCAAAAACGTATATTTAATTCATCTTAAAATTTTCATTTTATTCAATTAAAATTAATTAAGCAAACATTAATTAAAGTTTAGAGTGAACCTATTACCTTTAATTAATATTAAACTTCACTAACAAATAATTAAATGAAACTTATATTTTATTGAGTTCTGTGGATGAGAACTGTGGAATTACTTTGAATTCCGCTCTCTATTTATACAAATTTTATACTATTCTAATATATGCTATCTATATACTATCTTTTATGTTCCTTTTATATATTATCTTTGAACTATCTTTCTAATATGCTATCTATATTTTAAATACGCTATCTTTTAATATGCTATTTTTAATATGCATGTATCTTCTATTTTAACATGTTATCTTTTTATATATATTCTTTTTTAATATGTTATCTTTTATATTCCGTCTTTATACTATCTTTTTATATGATCTTTGTATTATTTTATGTTCTTTAATCTTTTTGACATTATTTTATATGTTCTTTTAATTCGCTATCTTTCCATTTTATGTGTTTTGCTTATAATCTATCTTTTGTGGCTTATAATTATTCTTTCTAATTGTTCTTATTGTCAAAGATTGCTAAGCCGCAATTGATCGACTCTAATAATTCTATTGGTTCTTTGTCAATCATTCGATAAATATTACATCATGTAGATCATTACTCTTCCTAAATGTTTATCCTTTTCGGCTAATTATTTATCCATCTACGCTAATTCATAATTAATTTGTTCGTTCTTAATATTTGGCAATTACATTTGGTGATTGAATTTTATCATCTTTTCATGCTTGATATTTGACCGTTTACACCAAGGCCACACCACTAAAAGAAGCTACAGTAAAAGAGGTAGTAGAATTTATTTGGAGGGATATAATTTGTAAACATGGGTGTCTAAAGAAAATAATTAGTGATAGAAGGACTCACTTTAACAATAGAATGATGGAAGAATTAGTAGAAAGATGTGGGATAAATCATAGATTAAGTACATCATATAGGCCACAAACAAACAGTTTGGTTTAGGGATGGCAACGGTCAGTTATGGTCGGTTATGGTCAGTTATAATCAGTTATAGAAATTTAAACAGTCAGTTATGGTCAGTTAAAAAATTGGTTAAACGGTCGGTTAAACGGTCGGTTATACCATTTTACTTAAATAATTAGTCAAATGGTCGGTTAAACATTAAAAATGGTCAGTCAAATGTTTAAATGGTCAGTCAAACGGTCAGTTAAATGTGGTTAAACAGTCGGTTAAACGGTTATGATTATAACTGTTGCCATCCCTAGTTTAATCGAAAGATTTAATAAAACTTTATGCGAAGGATTAGCCAAATTAGAAGAAGAAAATTGGAATAAACATATACCATCAGTATTATTTGCATATAGAACAATAAAGCAATCGTCAACAAAAATTAAGCCTTTTTATGCAACATACGGAAGGAGAGCGAAACTACCATTAGATAAAGATGAAAACAAAATAACATTAGCTGATAGAGTAAAAATATTAATTGAGGAGCTACCAGTAATAAGAAGAAAAATAAAAGAAAATGTCGAAGAAGCTCAAGAAAAACAAAAATGACAACATGACAAAAGAGGAATTAGAAAACCTAAATTTGAAATAGGAGAAAAAGTATTATTATACGAAGCATGGAGGGAGAAACAATAGTTTGGAAAATTGCAGAATAAATGGAAAAGACTATATTTAATTTACGAAGAATTTGGAAATGAAGCATATAAACTCAAAGAATTGGACGGAAGAATATTAAAGACACCTGGAGAATGGTTAAAGAAATTTTATGATTGAGAAAAAGAAATAATGGATAAGACACGAGTTCGATTTGATTAAAGTTATTTGTGAGGTCACAAATAGCGAAGGGAGGGATAATGTAAACAGTCAAATATTAAGCGTGAATAAATAATATACCAAATGGACAAATGTGAACGTCAAGTACTAAGTACGAACGAACTAATCTTGAATCAGCGTGAATAGATAAATGATTAGCTGAAAAGGATAAACATTTAGGAAAAGGAATGATCTACATGATGTAATATTTATTGAATGATTAATAAAGAACTAATAGATTAAGTAGGGAGTCGATCAATTGCGACTTAGCAACCAGTTTATTGAGTTCAACAATAAGAACAATTAGAAGGAATAATTATAAGCCACAAAAGATAAATTATAAGGAAAACATATAAAATGGGAGAATAGCGGATTAAAGGAACATGCATGATGAAAATACATAAAAACAATAATATGAAAAGATAATATAAAAGATAATATAAAAGATAATACGAAAAGATATAAGCCACAAAAAATGAAACATAAAAGATAACATATAACATATTAAAAGATAGATAGCATATTAAAAGATAGCATATTAAAAGATAGTATATTAAAAGATAGTATATTAAAAGATAGCGTATTGAAAATAGTATATTAAAAAGATAGCATATTATTAGAAAGATAACATATAAAAAGAACATAAAAAATAGTATATATTAGAATAGAAAATATAAGAAAGTTTGTTTAAATAGAAAGTAGAATTCAAAGTAATTCCATATCATAGAATTTATTGATTTCTCATCCACAATGTAATTTAGAATAGTTGAATTTAATTATTTGTTAATAAAGTATAACATTAATTAAAGGTAATAGGTTCGCCCTAGACTTTAATTAATGTTCGCTTAATTAATCTTAATTGAATAAAATGATAATTATAAGATGAATTAAAATATACACTTTTGTAAAGAGAATTATCGAAATATTAAAGTTGTAATAAATAGAATATTTCGTAGCGAGAGCTATCGAAGTTTGGAAATTAAAGATAAAGTGGCTAAAAATTGAGGAAAATTTAGAGAAGTTAAATTTAATTTTATATCGTTCGATGTTTTATATTACTAACGCTATTTTTGTTGTGAACCAAGAATGTTGTCGTTGTATGTTGTCGTTATATGTATTTATATGTTGTTTGTTGATTATGTTGTTTGTTAATTATGCCGTTGATTATTTGCTTGTTCGTTTGTTTAATTCATTCGTTTATTCGTTCGTTCGACCATGAGAATGCCTATTCGATGTGGCAACTCTGTAAATTGATGACAGAGGAAATAGAGGATCTCAACGAACTAAAATTAAAAATTTTAAAGTTTTTTTTAATGTTATAATAATTTACATGATTACTATAATATTAAGAATTAAGCATTAAATGTCTAATTTAAATAAACAAATAAAAACATGATATTTAACTATTTTTGCAATTAAACCTCATTTATAACGCCCAAATAGACCTAATAATATTATTCTAATAAAAAAAATTTTTTTTATTAGCACTATAATTAAAAAATTCAACAAAATTTATAAATAACAAAAAATCTAGCTTAATAATCACCATTCTAAGCTTAACAAAAGTTGTTCATTTCACCAACACTGGTCAAAAAATGATCTATCCTACAC